GAAACTGACAGTCTTTTGAATTCTCAGTCATGGGCAAAAAGAGGCAAGGCCATGTTCATATCAAAAAGGCAACTCATCTTCAATAATGAAGAGGTATTCCTGGTGAGGTAGCATGAGGTTTAATGAAGACAGGTCAATTAGGTTCCTCAGAAGTCATCGTGACTAAAATATTCTGAGCAAATGATCTATACTTAAAACCAATTCATCAGAAGTTGTAGATTCTGCAGACAGAGGTATTTTGTCAGCATTGAGAAGATGCCTGAAAAAGTCAAATTATTTTTGGCTTTAACACTGAAAGACACATGGTAATACACAGCTCTCTGGTGCACTTTCTAAAATTTTGCTGTGTTGCCAAGGACTGCAATTTCTATGCTATTTCCTGAGGGGCAGCTCTAAACTAAACAGTATTTTCATCTTGAGAGTATCTTGTTTTTTTATAACAGGCATGCAGTTAAGGCATATGGAGGCACTTTCTTCAGGGAAAAGCTTAGAGCAAACCTTTCAGTTCACCTGTCCGTGTGGTTAGATGCTTCTTTCCCTACTTCATCCCTTAAGAACTGCAGCTGAATATAGTCTACCATGTTATTTTTCAAGGGATTTTCAGGTTTGAAAGTATATTCCATCTGGAATGTTTTAAATTCCCTGCTGCCACACGGTGGGCAGGTACAATACTTGGCTTTGTATGTTCATCTACAAGATGAACATACACTGATAGGAAGATAGGTAGACAGACAATATTTTTGGTAGGGAAGAACTTTGCATGGGTGATGATAGAGTTCACCTGGAATGGCAAAATTTTGAATGTTTTTCTATATGAGAAAGTAGACCAATGAGATAAGATACATTCTGCTAAGTGAGAAGTTACAACTTGAAATTTTAATCCTGATTTTCCTCTGATTCTAAACAGTGATGTCTATCAAGTTACAGAATGCATTTTCTGAGGATTATACAGTCAGTAGATCAAACTTCTATTCTTACCAGCTGAACACAAGGTAGAATATACCTGGTGATTTTCTAGTGGAAAATGCTAGCCATATCTCAGTAGCTCAGAGAAGCTTTTCCTCACATAGACAAGATTATCATTTCTAAATAGATGGCTAAGTATCATGTCACATCTTCAGAATAAGAAAACTCCACCAACATTTCCTACTTCACTTTTCTCACTCTTACTGCAAGTTGTAGAAAAGACTACTGATAATGAAGGTTTAGTTAAATTTTATTTGCCGATATTAAACCAGATATAGACTTGGCTTGTTATAGACCCTATTGATGTTCATCAATTATTTCCCCTTGCTAATGAGAAAATGTTATTAGCAGTGACTTTGAGATGTATTGTCTGTACAATTGTACCTTTGCACATTTACATGAATCTTAAACAAATATTATCAGTCTTTGCATTTAGGCAAAGTAAGCTTTGCTCATATTAGATACTCAGTTATGGAAAGTATCTCATTAGCACCGAATGTCCAAGAATCAGCAAGTGATTCAGCTAACTAAAATACCACAAACCATATGATCCCACATTCTTACATTAGATGAAAAAGAAAAATGAAATGTTATTATCTGACAACCTATAAATACTGAGAGTAATGTTACTCATGAGAACTTTGATGTGAAAATGCTTCTTTTAGGATAGGCATAAAGCATCTGCAGGTTTCCACAGGAATAAGCAACACTCATTTTTCAGGAACTTAATTGGAAAAGGAAGAATAGCAACTTTGTTGTACTTCTTGCACTTTGTACCTCTTCTCTGTTCTAACTGAGAAATAATAAGATCACATCTGCCACTAGAACTGAAGAGGAAAAGAACAGCTTTCTTCCATTAGTTAAACTGCCTGCCCAAGGAACAGTGACGGAAGATGATGATTAGAGAGTGGAAGCATTCATCTGATTCTACAAGAAGATTGAGGAAGAACTGGGCAACTATTTTTTTTTTTTTTTGGTTGCTGTTGTGGTCTTAAATACATCAAAATGAGTTGTGACAGAAGAACAGTATTTCCTGCCTCCATAACTTCAACAACTAAAGTATTTAGACTTCTTCAGTTGCTGCCACAAGTACATAAGATACCAGGTTGCCTTGGATGCATTTTCTTGGGCACAGGCATAAGATACTAAACTACCTTTACTTTAACAAAACCATAAACTCAGTATTATTCTTGGCTATGGCAATATTCTCAAACTAGGATCACCAATCTTGCCTTGAACCAAAAATATTTAAGTACTCTTTCCATAATTTTGGATGACCTTTACAGAAGTTCAGAATTAGAACAGCTTTTGCTTTCAGCAAATAAAAAAGTAAATACACAGAGCTTTCACTAAAATGCAAAAATTATCATACTTAGGCTTCTTATATATTCAGCCTTCAAGTAACAGAAATGCTAGTCAATTCAAAATTGAAAAGGTCAGTTGTTAGTGTCAAACTGAACTGCCACAAAGCAGACTACATATATCATGTAGATAATCAAGGCAAGTATGCCAAGTAACTGACAACTGTAAACTTCTGTCTCATGAAAACACTGTCAAATTAACCACCAGGTCAATGTCATTGTTAAAAAAAGTTTACAACTTGTTCACATGAAACACAAGGAGCCTTGATTTTTCTGGTCTTAAGCAACAACAACAAATCTAGCCACCACTTGTAAAGTCCGAAAAAGAAAAAAAGCTTTTTAGAATTAGTGTTCAAATGCAAGTTTAAATAAAATGTGAACTTTCATCAGAAATTTTCATGTCCACAAAAGGTAAAGTGAATGTAACAGTGAAATCTTACTTATTTTTAGGAACCTTAGAGTAACACTCCAGTAAATCCAGATTAATGTATTTAGCATAAGTATTGCAAGTATAACATTTAGAGTAAATTCTCAGTTTCTCACAGCAAACTGGAGGTACAGCACAAGAGTAAGAAGCTATAACAAGTATAGTTATAGTACTTGTATATAACTTGTATATAACTAGTATAGTAAAGTACTTGTTTAGCATGTGAAGGGCAATCCTAGAAAAATAAGCATTACTACACAGGTAGCAAATCAGTTGAAGTTTTCTGCACCAATTATCTCATCAGCAGTATCTTACCAATGGTAAGCATCACAGGAAAAAGTCCCTTGGGGACCCAGGACTTAATGATCCGTGTGGGTCCCTTCCAACTCAGGATATTCTATGATTCTAAATAAGTACAAATGCAATAATATTTATAAAAAAGATCTAACTACTTAGAGATAACAGCTATTACTGTTTCTCAAAGGGGCTGCTAACCAAAGACTGCAATTTCTGAAACCTAGTCAAAAATGTTCATCTAAAATGGCAACTATCAGCTCATCTTTAGTTTATACTGCAAGGTTTATAAAGGCCTTTATACATTTATTTAATTTTTAAAAATGTAGAAGTGGAGACTACGGTAAAGTGTGAAGTACATAGAATTAATTTATTTGAAGCAGCAGGTAAATTAAGGCGCTGCTTGTAAGGTAGTTTTCATGCCCTTTTTGAATGATATAGAAAAGTGAGTCGTAGCTCTTTTCTTCCTATTTAAATCTACACACATGAATGTATGCAACTCTGCAAAGCAGGAATCACATTTGGAAATCTAGCACTCAAAACAAAATGCTGTTATTTCATGACTGAATCCCTACAAAGCTCAAAGAATGGTCAGAGAAATACTGTATGCTATTAAATTTTAGGCATCTCATGTTAGTGGTGTGATTCGCCTTCTGGAAATTCTCAAACCGTTATATGCTGTGTAGAAAATACAGACTCTTACATTTTCTGAAGTTAGACATAATCCCTTGCAACAGGAAGATATTATTTTCCATGATCTAAAGCATTTCTCCCCACTAGATCAAAGTATTTTAAAACTTTTAAAACTTTTAACATTCATGTCAAAAAAAGAAGATGCTCAATTAATAAAAAGAGAAACTGAACTACCAGTATTCAACATTAAAACTAATTTGTGTTGTTGATGTGTTGTTGGTTTTGTGTTTTTTTAATTATTTTACTGATTATATTTCTGATTAAAATTTTCTTAGTACATACTATTATATATTAATTTCTTCCATATTTATTACACTAACACGATGCCAATAAAAGTAATTGAAAATGATAATTTTTTCATTTTTTTTCAGGTTGATCAAATACAAGGTATTTTTTTACTTTTATCTCAACCCAATATCAAAGTTCACAAGCAAGTCAAGAAAAAAAAAAAAGAACAGGTGCATCGAGACAAATGTTATGTTGTCCTGAAACTGATGTGCCCAAGCTTGTAGTTGCACTCCTGGCCCAAATACCTACTGCCTACTATCTCCAGGATGCTAAAACATGGAGTAAAAATCATACTCAATAGGAACTTATTAACTGAACATCATTCACCTTGAAGTTTAGATGAAACAGAGATTCCAGAGGAAAAGAAAAATATATAAGATCATATATGTAAAATTAATATTGAAGAACTGCAAAGATACTTGCAAAAATACCAAATGTAGAGACCGAAAACTACATGAACCCAGTGTTCAGTCTGGTAAATGCAGACTCAAGAGCCTTGAAATATTGGAAGGAAGCTTGTTTTACAGTCTGTAATTTCCTTCTGCAGCCCTACTAAAACTGGGGCTTTAAGCTCCCTCTCTTCCTCCTTTTTTGCTTTTTCCTCCTCTTCTTGCTTTTTTTATTATTAATATTTATCTGAGTTTTAGCTGATATCAACAGAAGTGAGATATTTTTGCATTTGAATGCATGACTCATGCTTTATTTTAAAAGGCAGTATGTTTACTTCCTCAAGTCTGTAAGATTTGAGTAAATATAAGTCAAATTAACCTGCAACACCCCAACATATCTCAAAACTGAATCTTTCTATGATGCATTTTAAAAGATTATATTTTTAAAAAACTACAAAATTTGACCCTCATTTGAAACCATCTCTCTCCTCCTTCTCCCCCCTCCCTGCCCCAAAACAGGAAAATATGTAAATTTATTTTTGACTTGTTGCAAAGACTATTTGTGCAAAAAAGATTTCTTACTTGCAGCTGAACTGAGTTATCCTGAAGTCCTTCCACAATAGGAGAGAATCTATCAACATTCTTTTCCTCTGCTGCTGCTGTTATAGCTTCCAAAATTTTTTCAAGGCTGTAAGAAAATAAAAGCATTTCACTTAGAAGAGGTTATATAACCTTCTTCTTCATTTGTTATCTGAAGAGTCATGCTGCCAAAAAATTCACCTGTTTCAGTATCTCAAGTACAAATGTAGGAGTTTTAAGCATTATTTGTTTACTTTGGAGACTTTTGTAAGTGAAGAATGACTTACTGGATTACATTGGTTAAGATACCTGAAAAGTAATGCTAAAAATCTTCCAGAAAAAAATGGCTGCATAACTACTTTCCATCGAACCAGTTCCTTCACATGACAAAAAGAAAAGTCTTATTGATATGACCATAACAAAAATTACTGAAAAAGGTATTTTCAACAATGACAGCATAGTACAGATATTACTTTCAAACATAAGTTGAAAAATTCAGCACTTAATTTAGGTGCAATTATAATTTTGGATATCCTAAAATCACTTTACTATTTCTGGCTAAACACAGTACTTACATGCTTTCTTCTCCAACAATGCACATTGCAGAAAGGAGTTTAACTATATCAGTCATCATACTAGTTTGCTTGGGATCAATTGCTTTGATCAGCAACAAAAGGCTCCTCTCTTCTCCCAGAATTCTTTCCAATCCATACTAAACAACAGAAAAATGGTTGTAAGAAGAGTTGGAGGGAAACCAAGTGACAATATTGAATACCAAGCAAAATGCAACAGTTCCCTCAAGTAAGTATTTCAAATGACATTTAAACTATTTGAATAATTAAAAAAATAAATGAGGAAAAGGTGCAAAACAGGTCACTCATTCTGTAACAAGAACAAACATCAACATCATAAGTTTACACTATTCTCGGAGTATATTTCTGTCGAGAAGTAGAGAATGATCTTCAAGCCACTGCTGACAAATACATTGCTTCTCCAAACTCCACACGCTTATATACATTGATCATTTACATCATCTGATTGAACAGCAGTAATTCAAATTTCCAGATTAATGAAAATCCCATACCTTATTGTTCATGAAGGCTCTCAAACATTGTATAACCTTATGCTGACTTCTCTTCACAATTTTGTCTTGGCTGAATAAATTAAAAAAACATATTGTAGTTAAAAGCTGATTATGTATTAAGAAAAGCTGATAATTTTATAGAAAGACATCCTTACTGTTTTGTCTCAACCAGTCTTTCCAAAACGTCCAAGAGCAGCCCCAGACCTTCTCGGCCAAAGTTTTCAACCCAGCTACATGGAAAGACAGACATTAGAATGATTGATACTTCAAAGACTATTTACAATAAAAGAAAATTTTCAGAATAAACAAAATCAGTATAACTGGATCATTTTAAGATCAACTCTACTGAATTGAGGATCAAGATACATTGCGTTCACTCATTGACCCAATTACATTAAAAAAATAAAAATGACAGTAACCATTAAAATTTTTAATTTTACTTTAAAATGAACAGTTATACTTTCTTTGGTAGAGAATTGTAATTACTAAAGATCTTGCAAAAGAAGAGAAGAAAAACAACAATTTCTGCAACTCAGTGTTCTACCACCTCCCAGAAAAGTATAACCTCTGGTTATACTCTAATATAACCAGAAAAGTCAGAGAAGGAAGTAAATACCCAAAGGAATTGCAGAAATGGCTGCCTGAGATATTAATTTATATGAATACTTCCAAGAGAACACAACAACAGGTAATCAGCTCTTGCCATATCTATCTTTGGTGGGGTTAAACCTGGGCAAGTTGTTTCTACACCTGACAACTGCTTCACAGTCCTGTTTACTATTGGTCAAATCCTCTCTTCTCTGTAGGCAGAGCATCTACAAAGTCCTTCTCCTCGGTGGCTGACAGCAGTACTGCAACCATCCCTTTGATAGTAGCTGTTGATCTTGCTGAAGCAATAATGTTTGATCAATTACCTAACCTTACGTTTCATGGGCAACACTATCATTTATAGTCATAGCAGCAGGCATATTCTGCTCTTTGCACTTCATTGTCATTTAAGGGAAGGTGATACTTGAAGACTCATCTCTTTCCATAACTGGCAGGAAATACCTCCTGACACATTTTGTCAGCTTTCCATACTACTGCCATAAGGCAAGTCCTTGGATCTCTTATTACTGTCTTTGGCCAACAAGACAAAGTTATTTCATAATGGATCTCTCTTGCATACTCTTTCCACTTTTAAATTACCATACTACTTTTAACTACTAACTGTTTAGAAAACCATCTCTATCTGGAGCATATATAGCTAGCATGACACAGATGCAATATTTTTCACCATCCTCATCATCAAAACACATATTCTGTTGGGGGTGTTGTAACAATAGTTTCTCTGAATTCTTTACATTATTACTTTTAAACATTTTAAGCTAAGGAAATCCCTTGTCATGCACTAAAAAAAAAAAAATGTAAAAATGGAGCAACCCATGTGCAATGTCAGAAGTTCAGCATCATAAAGAGGTTGATCAGAATTAGTCAAAAAATGATCATGTTCACTTCACTTGCAGTATAGCCTCTCCATTGTTTTTTGTTTGTTTTGTCTATTTACACAAACTGCAACAAAATATTATTATTGATTAAAATTTTAGTATTATTGTAGTAATTGATTATTATAATACCATTTTAAGCAGAATAATGAAATACTTCTATAATAGTGGGATCTTAACACTAACAAATAACAAGCCATTCTGTTGGAAATAGCAGAAGGTAGATGCAGCAGCTCTTTTGAAATACCAAGTACTTCCAATCCCATCACAGGAACGGATTAAAATGTGCTTTGCATCTGCTGGACATGGAACTGTAATGGACTTAAAATTACAGATAGAACCAGATGAGATGCTTTTATATGTTCTTTGTATAAACCTAAATATATTCAAAAATAGGTTTTCTCCTTCCCAGATGGTGTTCTGTTCTAAACACACTTGAAGGCAAACAACCATCAAGTATTTTGAGTATAACTGGCTATATCTGATCTAAAGATGATCCTCCTAGATATTTCTGAGCATATTTTTTATTAGAATTGTGAGCAGCCACTTTGTCATATGTCCAGCAGTTGAGAGCGCTGAGAATGATTTAGTGCATAAAATACTGCTGCATTATTATTGTCCTTTCCTCTGCTTCCACAACAGCAGAACAAAGATTACTTGCAATATCCACAGCCAACACAGCTTTTTGTCAGTCTGACAAAATACCAAGCTATCAGTGTCCCATTCTCAAATTATTTTAAGAAAAGTTCTCTTAATGAAAATATCCAAATTTGTTGCAACTATTATTCAAAAGGAAAAGCAACAATTGTAGATAACTAGTTATCTGTACTACGATGTTATTTGTAATACTGTTTAGCTGTGGTAAATCTCCAAATTACTTTTTACCACCTGTGTAGGACCTGTGAGGTAATAACATCCTATTTATTTACCTGAAGAACAGTGATCAAGATCAGTGGATACATTTCGCTCTTGAGGCTTTCTTTTTTTAGTGATGGGAAACAAATACTATTTTTTGCACTAAGCCATAGATTTCAATTTTTTTTTTTCAAAGTACCAGGATCAAACTATTCAACAATACCATTTGACTCTGATTTTCTCTGTGAGCTAAAAATATGCTTTCCAAAACCAATTAATTGAAAACAATGTTGTGGAGCCTCATCTTTCATTATCAACTGGAATGTCAAGAATAGTTAAACTGATTAAAAGATTTGGAAGAAGTTTTGTTGTTTTTTTTTTAGTCTATATTGTCAAAAAGATTACAGCCCAGAAATGTGAATATCTGCACCCAATTAACATAAGCATTCATGGGGTTACTCATTATGTTCTAATGTTACTCATTAGAAAGATGCAGGCATGTGCTTTAAAAATGTTGAGCCTGCAAGTGTTTATTATGGAGAACACTGCACTGCCAGTACATTTCTGCTGTTTTTTAAGGAAGTCCTAATGAACAGCTTGTTTGTTTGTTTGTTTGTTGGTTTTTGTTTGTTTTTTTTTTCCTAAGACTATTTAAAATGCTCTGTTTAAGCTTAGTGAGGTCTATCTTAACAGTCTTTTTTGCCACCAGTCAATACATCAGCAGACTGTTTTAGAACCCGTATGTTGTTACGGTTGGGATCCTTTATTTGATTTGTAGACTAAAATGTGTTTATGGACAAGCAGGGTACATTTTTTTGCAACACTGAATGTCTACTGTTGTTTTTACAAGCCGCTGTCAATCTCCTTCTAATTCAGACCTATGCATAGGCCACATACCCAGTAAATTCCTAATGAGTTCTACTCCAATACAAGCATTGTATGTTCTTTCATATAGGAGGATTAACTTTTCTCTTGGTGTGTGAGAAAAGGGCAGCAAAGGGGATGACAATCAAAAAAAATGAAATGATCCAGCCATATCAAGAACAGAGAGAAAAGACTGCTCTAAACTTAAGAGCATGTCTTATGATTTGCATTTCTATTCCAGACACATGACTTCTGCAGTCAACAACTGAAGTTTTCTTTGTTAAATCAACACATGTGTAATTAAGAGATGCCCTAAGCTGTTGTTTGTTTTGAAATAAGAAAGGAATGAAATACTATATCAAAAAGTAGTTTCACATTCATGGAAGAAGTGCAGTGTCTACTGTAAGACCATCTGTCAGAAGCACTCAGGTTGATTCTAAACATATTTTTTTTTCATGTGGACCATTATATATTCTAAACAAGACAACCCAATCCAAAACCAGATGAATAGAAGGAAAGAAGCAAGTGCCCATACAGAGGACAACACATCAACAACTCTGCCCAGCAAGCTGCAGAAAGAAGAAAATTGTTGAATCCTCTTAATTACATACCATCATAAGCATCCCCAGCAGTTCATTTGTATTATTTTACACTAAACCAAAAACACTTCACAAAATCATGTGTTCAAACAGTGGCTTAAATAGATGATCTACAGCAAAAAGCTACAAATTCGAGTAAAATTGAGTAAAATATTGAGTATAAAAGAATAGAATAAAATAGTATAAATGTGCATGTATATTATACCTCTATTATATGTCTGTATATATATATACAAGTGTCTGTGTGTGTGTGTAAATGTATGCATGAACCTATGTTTTCTGGCTAAAAAAAATACACAAAGGTGCCTATCTCTCATTATTGATCACCCTGACAAAGTAAATTACAATATTAAAGAATTGAGAACATTACAAAAAGAAAAATAAAGAAAACTTTTTACTATTTAGCACAAGAAAACAGTGATCTGCTCTGAGCTGTACTTGTTTCACATTGTCTTAGAATTACTTTGTACAGATCAGTGACATCTACTTAAAAACAGACCTGCAGAAGATGCATAATCAATGCAGAAAAAGAAAAAAGGTATAATCATTCATTAATACATATACATTCATTAACTGGAAAACCTTGAAACATGCCACCTACAGAGCCATTAATTTTAATCCATGAGGAAATAAAAACGTGATCTATCTTTGCAAAATTTGTTAATGATGTTCAAATTCTGTATTACCTGACAGGATTACTAGTCAAGGACACACGAAGTGATTCTAAGCAAGTGACTAGTCTTTCATCTGTTGACCCAGATTTTAATTCCTGCATAAACTCTTGGGGTGAAATCTTCCGACGGTTCTTGAGACTTCCCTGAAAGACAGAAAATGCATTCATTTTTTATTTGGTACACTTGAATAGATTACTAATAGCTAACCTTTGGTTTCACTTCTTAAAATAATAGGAAAAATATTTTATCCTTAAATCAGTATTTGTTGTCCATCTACCAGGTATGCTGAATGCTGACTACATTTTTGCCGATTTATGATCAAGTCTATGACCAGTAGTCAAAAGCAGCAGGCAACAAATGTATGCATCATGCATACTTGGTGAAATACAGTTTTTTAATGCATGGATTCTGTTTATGCATTACAAACATCTTAATTTTCAATTCTCAACAGAAGAAAAAAAGATTCTGAGTTGATCACAGGGCAAGTGTCCAGACAGGTCGCTGCATTCATATAAGAATACAGATTGAAGAACTAGAGCACCAGAAGAGCCTTCAGGATATTAGTGTGTAACCTGAGCTGTTGTAGACAATGCTGTAAAAACGTTTTGCTTAAGGATCCTGGCAGCCCAGCAGCATGAGTCTAGGACTAAACAAAACAGACTACCAGACTACCTTTGGCTTTAAGTGCTAAAGCAAAGCACCTCAGGAGGAAAAAAAAAATATAATATATTTTTTAATAAACACTGAAGTTCATGAATCCCAGCTCTTCACAAGTTGCATTTGCCATCTGTACAAATGTGGCAATACAAATAAACTTGATGCCATAACATAATGACTTTAGGATGAGAATTTACTCCACATTTGGGTTTGGATTGTGCCTTGCTTTTTGGGTTTTGGTCTTTTTTGGTGGGTGGGGAGGCAAATTGGAACATGGAGAGCTAGCAGATAGAAAACAAAATGCAATGGCAAGTTACTGCAGCACTACAAAAGTAGTTTAGCTTTGTGAAAGCCAAATATTTCCTAATCTAAGCAATACACGTTGAAAGACTGACTGATTCATCATTGCATTTGTCGTGTCAAATGTTGCTTAAACGCAAGTTCAAGATATTAATGACTTGTCTGGAGGATACAGAACATCCAACGTTTCAAAGAAAACAACAGTAATACTGAACCAATGAAGTCCTACAATTTGCAATTAAAACTGCAAATCTAAGAGACACTGACCCTGTTCTTAAGGGCATTCCCTCCTCTCCCCTCGCCTTTTTTTTCTAAATTAGCAGCAAAGACAAAATTTGTAGACACTGGAAAACAAGTTTATTCCACATAATTCCTACCTATGACATAAGGATAGATACAGTTCTTAGAAAAAAATAACTAAATTCAAAAACAAAAGCCATCAACGACAAATAAAAAACAGTACACAACCTATATTTGGGTAGATCCATTTTGATATGCTGGAAAGACTCCCTTTTCTGGGAGCAGAATAACATTTCTGTGTGAAATACTCACTATTCTGTGATACGGCATTAAAGACAGTTACTTGATTATACTTGATTATATTATAAGCCTGACTTGGCTTAAATCAGAAAATAAAGAGAACTGGACTTGCAGTGCAATAATAACTTGAAATTATCCACCATAAGAGGTGAGACAGTCTCATTATGTTATACAGAGCCTTGTATAGAAGATAGTTTCTTATTTTGGTAGATCCTCAAGAAGTGCTGAAAGCTATCATTTCCTGCTCTCGGAAGCAAAACATCATGAAAAAGTTTCTGTAAGAGGTGAAATCAAAAACTGGGAAGACTAGTTTACAGACCAGACAGATGTACTGCTGTGCTGACAGTCAGAAAGATCTCAACAGGCAGGAGAAACAGGCAGAGAGGGATCTCATGGAGTTCCACAGCAGGAAACGTACCTGGGGAATAACAGTGCCCAGGAGGTCCTGGTGGAAAACTAGCTGACCACAGGGGAAAAGCAGCACTAGCTGGTCTAGCGATGCTGATCTAGAAGGATGAGTGATGCTCATCCTTCCCCCCTGCTCAGCATTGGTGAGACACATCTGGAATGCTGCGTCCAGTTCTGGGGCCCTCAGTACAAGACTGACTGGGACATACTGGAGTGACTCCAGCAAAGGGTCATGAAGGGACAGGATCTTCTTAAGTATGAGAAGAGGCTGAGACAGCTAGAATTGTTTAGTCCCCAAAAGAGAAGGCTATGGGTAATATTATGGATAAGTATGAATATTATGACATATTTGACCAGAGGGAGTAAAGCAGGAAACTCGCCAAGGGTGACCAGTTAAAGGACAGAAGGCACAAACTCGAACACAGAAAACTGTAAAAACATAAAGACCACTTTTTTTCTTTTTCTTTTTTTTTTTTTTTTTTTTTTTTAAATATCCTGTGAGGGTGGTCAAGCACTGAATAGGTTGCCCTGGCAAACTGTAGTCTCCGCTCTTAGAAATAGTAAAAAATGAACTATACAAGGGGTTGGACAAGACAAACTCTAGAGGTCTCTTCATCATTCTATCATCATTCTATTCTGTGATAAAGGAACACTGGAGGTTATACTACTTCTCTGCTCCAATTATATTTCCTCAGACCTATAAAAATGGATGTTCCCAATGACAAAAAAAAAAAAAAAAAAAGGAGCATGGTAAGGAATCTCAAGGAAAAATAACAAGTCATTTTATTTTGGTATACCATATGTAATAAATGGAATGTCTTTCCAAACATGGCTCTGAATTGACAGAGATCCGTAACTGCTCAAACATGAGCGCCAATTCCAACAAATGTACACCACAAAAAAGTACATGAGATGACTGGGGAGCGTTAGAATCAGGAATCAAGGGAACCCAGACAAGAATAATCCACAGTAAAAAATGTTCCCACAAACAAAAAGATTCAGTGTTTTAAATTTTCTTTCATGTTCTGTGGTTAGTTCATAGCTACATAATATTCAGGTTAAAAAGGTGCTAACAAAAGGGAATTTACTTGAACCCCTTTCAGATATTCTCTGGGTCCAAGAGTTATCAGTACGCATTAGTAATGCCAGAAATTAAACATCATAAAAAGCCACCTAGTTGGCAAATTTATTCCATAAACTAGAATGCTTCCAAAATCACCCTCCTCACCAAGATGGCGTAATAAATTCTTTCCGTCAGGCAAGAAAGCCCAGGTCCCTTACAGCTTCGACACAGCTGTATTTAAAGTGGAAGGAAGTAGTAACTGGAGAAAATCTTGAAGCCAAATGTAGAAGATCTCAAAAAAAATGATACCAGTAAGAACTGAATAACAGACTTAATAAAACATGAAAGGTAAAACAAATTACACCATAAGTTGCATAAAACACTACAAATCAACTGCCTAAAGGGTATCACTGACAAGGGTTTCTGTCTGATTATTTAACAGCTTGTATACAGAGCACATCCTGTTACAGTACATGCCCAACCATTTTAAGAACAGACAGTGTATATCCCTGAGGCACAATCTGTGGAATTTCAGATATAGCTGTGATATAAGGGGGAAATTTAAGTCACATCTGTGGTGTAACAGTGGGTTGGGGCTATGCTAGTGTGCATATGCAACACATACAGTTCCATGGATCTCCCCAGCTTGTCTCTGCAAAGATGAGATAACGGACTGACTACAGACAAGACGGCCAACCGCACTCCTACCAGCCATCACAACAAAGTATTTGACTAAATGTTGCAGGAGCTCTCCAGGTGGGAATTTCAAAAAGTTCCAGAAATTCTCCTGGCAGCTCCTGCTGTGCATAGACTAATTGATAGGCACTGCCTGTATGCCTAAGCATATGGATTAACATCCTGGGTGGTGAATTTGTCATTTCCAGTGACATCCCCCAGCAGTTCTTGCTGGAAAATTGACCAAGGTGGATATAGCTAAGACTTTCATAAATAAGCAGTAAAATGGCTTTCTTTTGATGCCAAAATGGTCATATAGGACAGTCATATGGACAGGATATAAAGTTAAGATAATTAGAAAATGTTTTGGAAGTAATTTGGAAGTAAGAACAACATGTGAAGAGTTCATGGGGAAAAAAGGCCCAGCCAGACTAAATAAAAAAATAATCACTAGAACGACAATTAAGGGAGTCTCATCTGACCTGTCCAAAGACACCATCACAAGCAAGAGACTCGCATCGACACCCAGCCGTCCTATTTCAGATTCACTACTCCACCTGAATATTACCCTCTGCAAAAGATGCCGGTAACAGTGTGAGTGCGTGTGTAACGTATCCACAGTACCAAGCACCACTTATCATTCATAGTTACGCCACAGCTCTGCAACATAATAAGAATATGACACATCTGCTGCTGCTCAAGTAAAATGAGAACTGTAGCTGGTACCAATTGTGCAACTGATTATATTAGCTATATTTCTGCATGGGAAAAGCTGCTTAAGTTCAAAATGCTCAAGTTAACTGAGAAACAGGAAATATCTTGAGGCATCAGTGCCTCTAGAAATTTAATTGCTCAACTGAAGAACAACTGGCCTGTGAGCAGATGCAGTATGAAGTCAGCATTAATTAATTCAGTTACAACATTACAAGGGAGTAAGCTGCACAACAAAAATGAAATCTTGTGAAGACAACTCACTTTAAAAACCCAGTCTGTGTGTGTTTAACATACAGAGCAGTCAAACTTTAGGCAGGTTAACATTATGCTGCTTTTATTTCCACTTGAGTATTAACACCATAACATGGAAATTGTTTTTTAAACTTTTCCGGGCTGGAACATCTTTTCACATGTTTATATAGTACTTTAAAATGTGACACTGTTTCTAACCTCAAGTAATCATAGTATATACAAACAACTACAAAAAGACTGAAAATACAGTGGGGACTACAATCTCAACAACAGACAGAACCGCGCCACATTTGGTAGATGAGAACATACAGCCTGTAAACACAACTGTTGTCCCCTCTAAGGGGACTTGACACCATAGCAGACAGAAATTTCATTCAAGGCTTTCAAGCCTTGATGGTTTAAGCAGTATGATATATATCTCTCAGGTGATAACATTTTTAAAGGAAGAAATAAGGCTTCATCTAAACACAGTACTTTACAAGAAAACAAAAATGTATTGGCAGAGTATCTCATGCACTGAGATCATTCATTCTTAACAATTCTTCTCCAGGAGCCCCTTAAAACGTTACAGAGACTGATGAACACAGCATGTTTGTAGACTGACATAGAGGAGCATACAGTCAACTAACTGTTTAAGTTTCTAAGCAAAGTGGAGTCAAAGGAATGAGCGCTGGACTATGCATGTCAATAGAATTCTGGTTGTTTACAACTTTCTGAGTCCTGAAGTGATGGATTCATTTTAGACATCTCATTCACAAGTAGAGGTAGCTCACAGTCTTCTATACACAAATAAGCACCTGAGCATAGCCTTGCCTAACCCAGCATAATCTCTACATGCATCACCAACAAAACCAGGTTTTGAGAATACTGGAAAAGAGTTCTTCACTTCTGAGAAAGCCTGATGCTGAAGTCAATGATGTTCTTAATGTTAACAGTCTTTGTAATAACAACTGCTTCAAATGAAACCTGGTAAGAGCTCTGTAGAGGGGTTGTAAATAAGTAGTTTTGTCCCAGCATAAGATAGCTTGGCATCTATCTCCTTGAAGTTTAAGAAATATGAACTACCAAAGGATAATACTATGGTGTTACTTATAGGAAGAAAGACATGAGATGGGATCAGTTATGCATAATATTCAGGAGCCTATTCAGCACTTCAGCTCTTCTGAAAAAGTTTGATACCTCTTTCGTCAAGTCAAGGTACACTGAAAGTTTGCAGAGTGCCCAGGGCACGCAGCGCATTATTCTTTCCAGACAGAGGAGGTAGCCGGAGAGTCCAATACTGCTGAGGACTGAAAGAGAATGCTGACAACAGAGTTTACAAGGGGGGTGGTGGGAATATGGGAGTTTCCCATCCCAGCGGCTCCAGCATTAAGCTGAATTCACTTGAAGCACTACTATATCACACAGCTGAATCTGTGCCTCACAAAAACACCTCCTCCCACTTACTGGGTGGCTGAATTATTATATTACTACCTAGACCTACTATTATTTTACTTTTTTAGACCAAACAATTTAGCTCTTAGAACGAGTGTGGAGTCTTGGGGTATCAACAACATATAAACTTAGCATGTTGTTTTGGGCTGAGAAACACCAAGAGTGTTGTAAGACTGGCCTAAGTTTCCTGATTTCCCATGAAACATCTGAAAAAGAAAAATAGGCTAACCTTCATAATCTTGTGGTACAAAGGAATTTTTATGCTATAGAAGGACTAGTAGCTCATCTTCAAAAAAACCTCCAGACAGCTTGGTCCTACACTAGTTATCTTTCATTGCAGCTTGCAAAATTACAAGATAACACCCTTTAAAAATGTTTTTGTCTGAGGAACAAGTTAGTAGGAAGAAAGTAACACGCACGCTTAGTTTTTCCTGCCAGTAGTAAATAATGTAAACACTAAGTCATGTTTCATGTACTTGGGCAAAATTTACTTACAGACTTTGAAGCAGTGCTAAGATATTGCATCACCATTTCTTTTTTGGTATTAAAATCCTTCTCCCTCAATGGCACTTTCTTGTCTTCATTTAAATTCATATCTTCCTAGAATGGGAGGGGGAAAAAAAAGAAACTTTAAATGGCACCAAAAAATACAGTTGTTTAACTATAAAAGACTGACTTAAAAAATAATAAAAGACACAGAAATATGAACTTGAGCAACTGAAAGTCGTTGTAAAAACAACTAAGTTAGATGTTATTAAAGCCATCAAAAAGTGTATCTATCTTCCCCAGCAGCTCAGATTAAAAAAAAAAAAAAGGCAACTGTGCCAGTATAAAAAAGTGCATCATGACCATTACCACCATAACCTCTTCTTCAAAATCACTTACAGTTTCATACACACTGAACTACAGAACGAAGTCATTTAACACTTGCTAAAGATGTACTTAAACCTGTCTCTTTAAAAAGATCTTTCTAAAGACGTATCAATTCTGTATTTTTTTCCCCTCAGTTCCCAAATACTTAATGCTGGCCAATGGAATCTGCTTCACCCTAAAAGTGGTTCACAGAATAATATTCACCTTTTAAATATGTGAGGACCAAATTCTTGATGATTTGATCACAAAAACATCAAAACCACTGTCACATTTCATGCCAGCATAAAACCCCAGGGCCAAAAAGCACAGAAGCAGAACCGTATTGAAAGCCACTGAGCAGCTCTTCGGTGACATTACTGACGCAGGGAATTGTAGTGTTGTAGCCTAGGAATTCTCTGACCATTGTAATCAGTTCTACATTTGTGAGAATGGACATTTCCTATCAAGCTGAAGGTAAAAAGGGCATTTAGAAACAATTTATACACACACAGTCGTACGTGCACATACAGCATTATGACAGTCAACCAAGCTTAGCAAGAATTACTGCAGTTACTTTCAGCTGAGACTCATGAGACAAAACCCCACCATCTTTGGCAGGAACAGTGCTACAAAATCAGTGGGTAACAATCTCAATGTCAAAGTTCATCTCACCTAGTCAGAAATCTAAGACAAAAAGCAATCAAATTCATTACCTCAGAATTTTAGGAAAGCAAGCTAAAGACCAACATTTTTCAAGACCACTGAAAGTTAAGTTTGCCTGTCTTTTCCCGGTTTACATATTGAATAGGATAGAATCAAATGCTTCTAGAAAGATTTAGCAGTTTGTATAAATCTGAGTTGTGAGAAGATATTGCAGAAAATGCTGGACCCTGTAAGCTGAACGTCTTCAAAGTACAATCAAAGCAATTTCATGTAGATTCTCTCTTTTTTTTTCTCTTTTTTTTTTTTTCTTCCACAAATGTTACCACTTCCTTTCCAGAAAGACTGGAAAAAGAATCCTCACTTCAGTAGAATCTGCATTTAATAAATATCTTTGGTTTTACCTGTAGTACCAAATAAGCACAGGATGCATGTTGTAAAAAGTTCTTTCACTCGAAAAAATTATAATAGTATATAGTCTTTTGCCTCCTTGGCAACTAGTTTACATATTAACGTTGCTTCCTACATCTGAAAATTAATGCAAAACATCTTAGCAGCAAGAAAGGCCACACGTACTTCCATCTTTCCCCACCACTGGTCTGTTTTCCAAAATACTGTATCTCCTTGATCAACAAATCATAGAGAAACTATTTGCTTATGCCCAGATCAAAATTCCAGCAGTACAGAAGGACACACATGCCTGAATATTTTTTCTTCACTTTGATAGTCACATCTTCCCTGCATAGTTATGAAAATCTCACCGGTTCATCTGTTGTTTTTTTTTTGTTTGTTTGTTTGTTTGTCTTTCCTATCCATTTTACGTGGTATAAGAACTCCCTTGAGGATAACTCAAATGTTCTTAAATCTTTTATTTTCTTATTTACCTGGATCTGGAAGAAATAGCTAAGCACTGCGCTTGTCCTCCTGACAAACACAATCCATGAAAGAATGTGACAGCTGCCTAATATAGTACCTATGTATTGCACGTTGACTCTTAGTAAACCAAATGGTGGAGGCATTAGCCTGAAAAGGAATACTGTCTATTTTTTCTTGGATCAAAATAAATCAATAAACCAGTATGATTGGAATGTCAGTCATCCAAAACCTCTGCACTAATATTCAAGTATTCAATAAAAATAAAAATAATCAGGCTCAAGTATGCATATATTAAAAACATCCCTGGGATAATGTTTGACACTTTCATATATCTTGGGACAAAACAAAGTAGAACATAAGATTTATGTATACAACATTTGGAAAAAAAGGTGAAAGATATTTAAAGTTACTTGTCTGTACTAAAGCTTTCAAAAGTCACTGCAGCTTTTTTTTTTTTTTTAAAGGACAAAAAAGTGCACATAATCAACCACAAAAATTAGTGTCTTTAGTACATTAAAATCAAAGTCATCTTCTTCAGTAATCACCTGCTCAAAGGAAGGGCATGTGAATTCCTGTGTTAAAACTTCTGCTTTAAATAGTAATTTGGAAACCTACATTTTAAGCTTTTAGCAGTTAATTACATAACTAGCCAGGACTACAATTCATCAGTGAGTTCAGACATTCATGTATAGTTTTGGATATAAAGCTTTGGGGACTTCTAAAAGGCATTTAAAATAAGAACAGATAAGGAAGATGTTCCTACTTTACAGGCTTTGAAAGAATTTTTGTTTATGAAAAAATACTCAAAGAAAAGATACATTTTTAAATTCTCATCAACTGCATGAAAATATTCATGCCTTATCTACAATATCTCCTCAGCTTAAAAATTATGAAAAAAATCAAGTTGGATTGTCAAAAATGCAACAATGTTAGCATTCTCTCTAGCCTTTCCCTTGTTAGCATGGCTATCACAGCTATTTCTCATTTCATGTAATGTTACAAATTAATTCTTTACCTTCTATTAAAATGAAGAAGAACATATTTATGACAACTCTTACTACCAGGCAACACATCCATTATGATATGCACATGACAGGCCATACTCTAAACAACTAAAATCAAGTCCATCTTGGCATTAACAGATTTTATTTATTAGAACTTGCAGGAAAAAAACAGTCTTTGGAATTCTGTGCCTCAAGATTCCTTTCCACAGGCATATAATTTTATAACAATACTGGCCCCAAAAGGTAATATATTTTACATGTATGTTTAATAAGGTTAGCTGGATTTTATTTAATACCTAAATTGCATTTTTATAGCTCATATAAACAGAAGTTTAAGAACACTGAAACCAAAGTATTCAGTTTTAAGTTTCACAAAAATACATGGCTAGATCTTTTTCAACATTTTCTAAGACTTATCACATCTTCAGTACCTTGCCTGCAATATGCCAAAGGTTTTCTTTCATAATAAAATCGAAATCCACATATATACTACATAAAGGGGAAGGGAAAAGAAGAAAAGCTTTTTGCATTTGCCTGTAGCTACTGCAAAGTTCATTCTTCTGTTTAAAGCAGTCTTGTATTTCTTTCAGACTTGCTCTTTTAAGTTTTCTGAAAAATAACTCCTGAACTTATTAAATAATCAAGAGAAAACAACAGGCTTGTTTTTCTTGAAGAAAATACCCAATGTCTAATCACATTAGGAAAAAATAGAAGGCAAGGAAAGTAAGAAGCCTAACAGCACGAAACATATTCCATAATCCGAGATGTAACAGAGAGTTTATTTATAGGAAATATTCTGCCCATATGTGCAGTAAGAAGTCATTTCTTGGTTTTGCTGTTAACAAAGGAAATATCACTAAAGCAATTGAATTTTACAGATTAGAAGTATACAATGACACAAAGGGCATGTCAGATGTGGCTTCATTTTCAAAAAGTATTTCAACTCCATTCTTTTATTTCCTTTTAAGTCATTTATTCTATGGGTGAGTGATACTTCTTTGGAAAATAAGAGCCGGTCATTTCACATGGTTATCTTCCTCATTGCACTAACCAGAAATGAAAGGAGCTAAACAGTTAATGATTCAATGCTGTGTTTGTATAAACTTTTCCATAAATTCACCATCAAAATTTGAGGTTTTCCATAATTTCAGCCATCAAAACTTCAGAGGATGCCAATGCGTAACATTTTGAGAAAACGAAGCACTATGCATCCACGAAAACCGAAAAGGTGAAGTAATTCATCCAGTGAAATGCCAGAATTTAGAAGCTGCTCCCTTCAGTACTGACCAATTGACTATTTTTATTCTGGGCAAAAGTACCTCTAAAAGCCAGATTACAACATTCAAAAAAAAAAAAAAGTTAATTTGATCAAAACTGCAAACCAGAGGTTATAATATCTAATTAGCTACATAATCCACTGTGACTAAACTACTTTTATCCCAGTCCATTCAAATGTGGATAATCTGAAGAATTCCATCTGTTTTACATGTTACGGCTAATACATGTACAATACCGATAGCTTCCTTGATACACTACTTCAAGTACTTTGTTACTCAAACAAACTAGGTAGGCATTCAAATCATCCAGGATCTTATACTTTAACACACTACTTAAACATAGACTTGGCAAAGAAGTTATAAAACAGGTATAAATTGCTTCATGATCCATAGTTTTAACTACTTCTCTTTACCTACGTATGCAACAGTGACTTTCCTAGGATTTTTCCTAGGACTATGTTTTTTTTTTTAATTTAGGTTTCTATTTTTTATGGCATAGTCCCAACATCACACACTATCCTACACTGAAATCTCTGCAGGATGGTGGAGAAATACAGCTTGCATAGCAGAGGACTGTGCAAGGAGGCATACTTAGAGTGCAACTGTACAAAAAAAGTTTCCATTTTTTAACATTTGAGCAACTACCATTTATAGCAGAATTTGTTAACAGAATCAAAATAGTTGGACACAGAGGTATACCAAGAAAAACAAACCATGTATGAGCAACAAATAGAAAGTCAAGAAGTTGTTAACACAGTGAATCAACCCTCCTCTTTGTCAGCATAACCACGAAAATCCTACTTCTACAAATATAAGAATAGAATATAATCTCCAATTGCATCAAAATCTCCCTCATTAATTAGATAGGCAACAGTAGCCAACCACTAGACTTAACTCACACAAAATGAATGCAGAACAGAAATGCCATGCACACAGAGTAAAACATACAAAAAAAGTAGTCACTGATCGCGCAGTCATAACTCTCCACAGCAGTACAAATACATCTTCAAAACTAAACATTGCTGAGTACTAGGAATTATAACCTCCATAAAGGCACTTCACTCTCAGCACATTTAATTTACTCCACATCCCAGTCCCTGGTAGCTGCTTTGTGCTTCACAGGGGACAATTACTTGTTACTTGAGGCATAGAAAGGAATAATCTAGGAATCACTCTCCTTGTTAACATCCTCTTGTGCTCTTCAGAATTCACTCCTCTCTCAAGGCCATCCCATGTTTACTTTTCAATTGCCAAAATCCCATCATCATCAATGTCAAAAAAAATAACTTAAAGATGAAAAAAATCAACCTATTGAGGTGGTACCAATGCCACATGATCTTTCTGGCAAGTGACAGCCACTCTTTTGTAGCAAAGCGATGATAGCACCTAAAGAAGGAAGTAAACTGTGACTGTGTGTGCTTTGTACAGCAGACAAACACTGCTTTAAAAGCATGAATGCTAAGTCTTTTTTGTGTAAAAAGTGGCATAGAACATTAGATCAGAACAAAACCGTGTCATGACATTCAAAGGTATAAAGCCTCTTTTATGTTTCAAGTCATCTTAAAAGCAAGCAGGATTCCCTTTTCTTGTTCCTCCTCAAAACCTGTTGTATAATCTCACTTCTAATAATCAGAAACCTCAAGTTTCCACCTTAAGTATTTGTGGGGCAAAAATTTTGCCAAAATAATTCAAAGGTTTTATCCTCCTCAGAAACACTCTAGAAAACATGTAATTACAACTAACAACAATAATAATAATTCAGGTAAAAGATCAAAATGCATGCAGGAAAAGAAGGCTTCCATCCATCAGCCATATTATTCTTTAAGTGAAGAAAGTCAGTACAACACACTTACCATCATTTTCTCAAACAGTGCTATGATTTCTCTTTCTGACAGGGGTTTTGGAACAAAATCCTCCACATCAGTAGTTGTGGATGACCAATCTGTAGAGTGGGACTGCTTCATATGTGGCAGAGGAGGTCTTTCCTTTTTGCTTCCTGGAATTCTTATACTGGCAAACCTATCCAACTGAAAACAGAAAGGATATAGTATATTACACAATGTTCCCATTCTGGGTAGTCCTAATGGGTATTCCTGGAATCTTAACATTCTTATTTTTCTGTTCTAACTTACCTATTATTTAGCTGTCTTACTTTTATGGGGTTTCCTAAGTATACCTATAATGGTCAGTTAGTGTTTCAGTTAGTAGGAAATATGGAGAAACCATGCAGAGCGTAAGAATTTTATGGAAAAAGTTTTGAGGAAAAAGATATCTACAAAACCAGCACAAGATTTATGAAGAGTTCTTCATAACCATTACACGTAGAATAGGAAAAAGTAGGCTTATTTACCAAAGCATGGCTTTAAAATGCTTTTCCTTAGTCTGAAATGGCAGTACTTCTGACAGTTGCAACAAAATATACAGATATGCAACCAAGTTACTTTTGATTAAAAGACAAGTTTATATGACTAAGACACTGTTCTCTTTTTTCTTTATTTGAAAGACTTTATCCTAAACTTTGTACTTTTCTGTGTTACAATTATTTAAAAATTAGTTGAGGAGAAGAATAAAAACTTTCAGCTCCTTTGTTAAAACTAAGTAGGATACACTCAGAGTCTGATAAAGAATCCTTAGCCTTTATCACCAACATGAGACAATCACTCTGACTTCACTTTGTTGTTGTTTTTTTTTTGTTTGTTTGTTTGTTTGTTTTTCCCGGTTTGGTATTTAACTACTTTTCAGTAAAGACTTAACTAACTGGAATTTTAAAACATGTTCAGTGTTAGAGACTGTATATTTTAACGTATACAGGCAGAGCCCAACAGAACACAAAAGCAGCTGACACTCAATTAAATGTGCTAAATCTTAATCATCTTTGTAGCAGCCTTTTGAACAGATGTGAACAGCAATATTAAACTTGTCAACACAAAAGAAAGTTACAGTAGCATTTGATGCGTAAAATTTTGGACAAGATTTTAACCATATTGATAGCCTTGCATCTTTGCAATGCTATGCGAAAAAATACTCTAAGGCTTCAATACATCTTGAAGATAAGTATCTTGATACACCATTTAATAAGAACATCAAAGCAACCACATTAAATTACAAGTAAAGTCTGTGGAGCTAAGATCAGAGAGAACAAAGAAAATTAGAGGCAAAAATTGTGTACAAGTGTACCACTCCAGTCAACACAGAGCAGGAATTGCCTATGCATAAAGAGAGGTTTAGAGGAGAAGAAAAAAAAAAAAAAAAAAGATTTTAATTCTTCCTGTTCAAAATTGAAAGGGAACGTTTTTGGAACATTAGAAATAGATTGCAAGCCACTCATACAGATGGTTGTAGAACATGCAAAAGCAGAAAATAAATATAGCATAAACATAAAAGAACTCAGCATGGAAGATAGGGCCCTTCAGTGTCACATCAAACCAGCAGGCAGCGTGGAAAGCACACTCTAAAGGAATAATTACACAGGCAAGACCCAGGAAGAAAGAGAATGCAACAAAAGCAAACGGGAGAGGAACATCATTGGAAGCAAAGTATAGAGCCGTCAGTGACAAAAGCCATCTTACATCTTGATCAGACAGCAATTTCCCTTCCTGTCCTTAAAAAAAATAGAAGTCTACAGCAAACAAAGGGAGAAGCTAGATTGCAAACTGTAATGACTGGATCAGAATCTTAAACACACACCATATTATAAGGGATCTGACACAGCCCACACAGCTTCACCCAGGGCAAACTGTGCCTGACCAGTCTGGTGGCCAAGTACTCCAATGGAGAGACCGCATCAGTCAACAAGGGAAGACCAACCAATGTCATCTGCCTGGGCTTCTGTAAAGCCACAATGCCACATGGCACCCTTATCTCCAAATTGGAGAGAGATGGATTTGAAGAGTGGACTATCTGGTGGATAAAGAATTAGCTGGATGTCTGCAGCCAGAGGACTGATGGCTCTATATCCAGATAGAGGCTGGTGAGGAGCAGTGTTCCTCAGGAGTCTGTCTTGGGACTGATGCTGTTTTACTGTCTTTATCAATGACATTGACCGTGGGATCAAATGCACCCTCAGCAAGTTTGCAGATGACACCAAGCCGGGTGGTGCAGTCAATATAACAGAAGGAAGGAAAACCATCCAAAGGGCAACCTGGACAACCTAGATAGGTGGGTCCACCTGAACTTAATGAGGTTCAGCAAGTTCAAGTGCCAGGTCCTGCACCTGGGTCAGGACAATCCCAGACAGGAATACAGGCTGGGAGAACACATTGAGAGCAGCCCTATAGAGAAGGACTTGGAGGTTCTGGTGGACAAAAAGCTCAACATGAGCCAACAGTGTGTGCTTCCAGCCCAGAAAGCCAACTGCATCCTGGGCTGCACCAACAGAGGGGTGGCCAGCAGGTCACAGGAGGGAATTGTCCCCCTCTGCTCTGCCCTGGTGAGGCCCCACCTGGAGCAGGGCTCCAGGATGCCATGAAAGACAGTACACCTGCTCCAAAAAAACTAAAAAAAGCATTAGCCAATAGCTTCTCCTGTGCCCACTTGCTATCTAGGGTACAACCTAAGAAACAAACCATTCTCTTTGAACGTTCTTAGTACACAGATTTGAAGCAGAGGTACAGGAAAAACACTTTGGCTGAAATAACAGACTTCAGCACATGAGTCAGTGTGCAGAGAATTTGTAATTTAGATTTAAGCAAGGCGTGCCCTACGCTCTCCTGAAAAATCTCAGCCCTTTCTTTAGAGCACTTGTTCCTCCAAACGTCTCCTTTTCCTTTCCAGCCCCTTTACAGCTTTCATTCCCCAAGCATAGCCTCTTCCTTCTCCTGCTACACAAACAGGAGCAAGAGTTCATAAGACAAAAGGAAGCTGGTCAGATGGAACCACCCTAGCCTGTGATATGAAATACCCCACACAGTCCCAGAGCTACTCTTACTCCAGAAGAATAGAATTCAGGGACAAAGGCCAAAGCATCCATGAAAAGGGAAATTTTACTTCCTTTTGCTTGTTGACACATTTAGTTTATGCTTTACTTTCAAACTTCTTTAGCATGCTTCGCTGTATGATAGATATTTTGCAACACCACAGATTAGGTCATATTTATTTTCCCCATAATTACCCAATTCTATACCATTTGTCCTAAAGAAGGGAAATGTGCTCTCAGAATACGTTTGATAAGGCAGAACAAGCAAGAGAAAATCAGATCCTAGGATTACAAGCACATTACACATGTCGAATTACTTGAAATAATTTAAAACGATGCATTCTAAAAATATGAATTCCATAGATTAAAAAAAAGGAAATTCACAACAAGACCTGAACAGTACAGTGTGGCTATTCTACATACATTTCTCTCTTGAATTTCGCATTAATGGTGCTTCAGAAAAGTTAATACCTCTCAATACTCCAATACAAGTGAATAATTTCATGGTCCACCGAAAGCACTTTACAGAAATTTCATTGCTTGGTTGTAATGAAATTTACCACTGATGCTGCTGGCGATCCAAGTGCATAGAGCAAATGGCAAAAATATAGTTCAATAATCTTCCATGTTACATCAAAAACAGTTTCAGCCAGGCTAGCCGATGGGGAATATCTAAAGACAGCTTTGTATCAAAGTGTCCCTACAGTTTAAGGAAGGTCTGACCTTCTGTCTGTAAATTAAAGATGTCTGCCCTGCACTTACCAATAAAAACATACAGATCCATACTGAAACAACACGTTTAGAACAATAATTTTCTGAGGAGAAACTTTTCCCTTAGAGTCTTTGTAGAGTCACTATTAAAATTAACCAAGAATAAATAGTGTTTTATATGTTCTTGATACAAAATATATCCATAGTAAAGTCTCTGAAATTCTCCAAACAGATCAATCTTGATGCATTGACTGAACTCAGAAGACCATCCAGAGTTCAAATGCAATAAGGAATGAAGGCTTCTGAGCAATCAGTGTAGAAAGCCAGAATTTGGCTAGAATTAGGTGTCTTTTTTTTTTATTTTTTTTTTATTTGGGGGGGGGTAGGTTACTTGGTTTTCTTTATTTTAAGATGGAATAAAAGAGCAGAAACAGGGAAGATGGTTCATTTTTTGTTTATGACAGCAAAGAAGCTACCAACAAAATACATATATGTATATATAATTCACACAGTTCTCATTATTAAGACTAGCATGAGGAGGAGTCTTTTCTCATAAACTTGAATTTAAAGCAGTGGTATGATTGGGTATACTTTAGTTTTTATGTCTGCATGCCTGCTACTGCCAAAGATTCCAACTTCCATAATTAGCCATGCACTACAATCTGCCAGACTGCATTCTTTGCAAGACAGAAGTGACAAGGCAACTGAAACACAAACTCCGCATCAGAACTGAAATACAATGAAAAGTAAACCACAGTCAACACACGAACATGAGTTACCATGAGGCAACTTTTAAGCAGCCTTTTACATTCATCAGCCTGTTCTGAAGGAGTCTTCTCAGAAACTCTCTATGGTGCCTTACGCTATAATAGATTTTAAAACTATCTTGTAAGATAGTTAGTAGTCTTGTAGCACTCCTTCCACTACTTTGTTCCACAGCAAACCTCTCAAACTACAACTTCAGTAATACCCTCTGTAGAGTAGGAGACTCTAAGCAGTGTGAGACACCATTACCATGTGTAGAATACAGTGTTGACAGCACCTACACACTAAAAATTGTCTTGGTCATCTTCGGTAGCACAAGGTATGTGAGTGAATGAAGCCCTCATTACTTCAAATTTTAAAAAAATCATGCACACAGGGCTAAAAAGATAGGAGTTTTACTTTTTTATTACTAGAAGTAATGTAAAGGTGACCATTTATTTCAAAGGTGGTATCACTGGAGCAACATTCAGTTCCTTTAAGGACTTAAATTCTCATGAACATTTTTTGAATGCAGTCATATTAAAGAAATTGCTTAAAAGGGAGCAACTGACAGGACGTATCAGAAGTTTTCTTCAATGTCCATCATCTGTATGAATGACAAGAAGAAAAGTGAGGCATGCAGCAGTAGGATCAAAA